GGACTTGTCCCAGCTCTCAAAACTAACAAGCGGATAAACTGTCAATGAGTTTAGCTCCTCATTTGAGTCGCTCCTCTGAGGTGTGGTTTGGTGACAGCACACCTTCACAGACATGTGCTTGTGAAACACAAGTCTCATGAAGCAGCCAGAGCAAGAATCGGGGTCCTGGTTTACCAAGGATGCGACGGAGCTTTATATAGACTGAGTGACTTACTTTCCCAATGCTTTTTGGGTCCACTGAGACTAGAACCAACTAGAAGATGGTTTCTCACAAAACATTCACTCTTACAAACCGCTTTCACCAAAGCCAAGATGTTGCTTATGACCGAGCTTAGATTTGGCCTATAAGCAACAGGCTGGCAGAAATTGTTAAGATAATGAACTGGTTGTCCACTGGCTGATAAAGAGCTGCTGCCCTGAGCCCCTCAAATGGCTGCTGGGTTGCAAGCAGCAAAGGGGAGTATCTCATAGGTGAGGACTCCCCGGGAGCCTGTTATTTCCTATGTAAGGACAGAAGAGAGAGCATCAGCTGGCGAGGAAATGGTACCCTGGTGACAATCTTTAGGACCTTAAAGTGTAAATACACCATTTTTAGCTAGGCCCTTCCCCCAGCCACAGTTGCCATGGCTGGCCCACACACCCTTTATAAGCAAGTGCCTCCTCCAGGTACCATATTATATTTGAAACAGTTTCAATGTCGTCCAAGCAAGACAGCTGCAAACCTGTGAACTAGATCCCTATCCCTAGTCTTTTCCTTACAGCTGATGTCCCACCCTGGCATGTGGTGCCTCTGTTTTCCCTTCCCTCCTCTAGAGCCATCTAGAGCACTCCACCACTTGGTGATGACTGAGATGAATTTCATGATTTTCCTCCCTTCCTTGAGATTACCCACAATCTAAGCTGTCAGTGGTTAGCTTTTGAAAGTGCTAGTGATTTGGTGACAGTTACTGATGCCTAAAGACACAAGATTTGGGTGACTTCTTTAATTGATGTAACCGCAGGTCATTCAGTAACTGGAATACGGTGTGTGTGTGTGTGTGTGTGTGTGTGTGTGTGTGTGTGTGTACACACACACGTAAGCATTATATTCTACTTTAATTACATATAGAGAGAGATGGGGAGAGAGAGAGATGACCTTTCTGCTCATATTATGTGGTAAAAATATACCAAGTAAAGTGGATTTGGGGGGTTATTCAGTGTTTATGTTTCCAATAAATGTTGAAATATTTCCACCTTTCATTTTAAATTCTTGATTACCTTCTAATGTACAGAACAATAAGGAGTCACATTTAAATCACAGGAATATCTTTGAAAAGAGAACATTCCCTCCAAAGACATCACTCTCAAGATGGACATAAGATGCTATCACACTGTGGTGAAGAGAACCTTCTTTCAGTTTCTATTAATGAAAGACAATATAAACGAGGAGAGAAATCTACAGATTTAGAGACATGAGAGGCATATCACCCAAATGTCAGTATATGAAATGGACCTTATTCGAATCATGATTCAAGTAAACAACTGAAGAAACTTAAAAGGATACTTGGGGAAGTATGAACATGAACTGAACATTTATTAAGATTATTTGATGGATACTATAGTTTTGTTTTAAAAGAATATAGTTCTATTGATGATGTATATTGAAATGTTTACAAATAAAAAGATATGAAACCACGTGTGTGTGTGTATGTGTGTGTTTGTGTGCCCATGTGTTGGGTGGGGGTTGAGTAGTGTTCAGATGAGTTGACCACTGTCAAAGCTGGGTATTGGACACATGGGGTTTCATTATACTCTCCTGTCTACTTTTTTTGTATTTGAAAATTCCTAATAATAACGAAGGTTAAACAAACGAGAAAAAAGGAGTGTGAGTTTTGAAGTTTTAACCCCCTTGAATATGAATACTGGTTCCACTTTCAGCGGTGGAATCCCTAGAGAAGTCACCTTTCTGAGCTTCAAATGTCCTCATCTGTGAGGTAGTGAAGGAGGCCCGCTTCATAGAGGGTTTTGCTTTGGGCTGCTAACCAAAAAGTCAGCAGTTCAAGACCACCCAGACCTCTGTGGGAGAAAGATGAGGCTTTCTATTCTGGAAAGGTTTATCGTTTCAGAAAGTCACATGGGAAGTTCTATTCAGTCCTGTGGTGTTGCTGTGAGTCAGAATCAACTCAATTGTAGTGAGTTTTATCTTCTGGGTTTTTGTTTTTATGTCGAGGAGGCGATTAAAAGAAATCGTAGGTGTAAAGAACTTAGCAGAGACTTTGGCACATAGTAAACACTCAGTAAATAAATAGTACCTCTAATTAGAGTCCAATTATTTTCTCCAACTCCCTGAACACATAATTGGGGATACAAGATGGTTCATACCCAAGATGTTAGCACCATTTTAGTAAAATAGTTATGAAATATACAAGATGGTTATATGGTGACCGTGTCTGAGCCCACCCACTGTTCCAGAGTGAATGCTGACAGATCAGAGAGTTCTCCTTGAAACTCTTCAGAATACTGAGGGCTAAGAGGACTGAATACCACGGAAGCAAAAACAAGGGGCCCTTTCCAGATATACTCTGTATGCCTCCAGTAGAAGCAGAGATCTCTGTAATATGCCTGCTTTAATTATTCTAACAAATTTTTACCAAATGCTACTCTGTGCTAGTGCCGAACACCATTCTAAAATAGGACTGAGGCTCATAGAGTGACTTGCCAACCTAGAGAGTAGCAAAGCTGTGACTCTGAATGCAGAGCTATCAGACCAGTCTTCACTTCTAAGTGTTTCCCATGACTTCTTACCTGGTGTTACAATGAGGACTGTGACAAGGGGGTTGGAGGTGTAGTCACCATGAATCACTATAGACTCGATGACAGTGTGATTGGCTTTCTTTCTTTTTTTCTAGAAGCCTCATTAGAGTTCTTGGTTGTCATCAAAAGGTCCGCAGTTTGAACCCACAACCTGCTCAATGGGAGCAAGAGAGGCAGTTTGTTTTCCTAAGATTACAGCCTTAGAAATCTTTGGTGGAGTTTTACTCTGTTCTATGGGGTAGCGAATTCCAACCCAATGGCAATGGAGCTTTGTTTTGTTTTGCTTTTTTTGTTCCTGTTTGTTTGCTTTCGGGTTTAAGACTCATTAAGACCACAAAAATTCCCTTCCCTGTTTGGTTTATTCATGTGGCAGTATGGTTTCATTTATGTGGCCACAGTGATCCATTTCTGTTGCTAAAGCTGGTAACACGCAAATAGCACTGAAAGGCAGCTTTTGATATGGACGGCATTGCATTGCTTTCCATATTGGTTTCATAAACTTTCAAGATACACAGAACCAAACCTTTGTTTTGCTATTATGCCAGCCAAGCTTCCTAGGGCCACGGGGCCTATGAAGAGATGAAAATGATAGAACAAAGAAACCCTTTAAGTTTAGAGTCAGTTGGAGCCCACAGTGTACAAGGAGGTCCAGAATATGGGAACAACATGACAGCCATAGAGCTCCGTCATAAAGGAGAGGCGGGCCTGCAAGACAGGCCCTTTGCCAACCCTGAGTCATTACTGACTTCCTGCGTCCAGCCAATTTACCTGCTTCTCAATAAGATCATTATTTGTCCTTCTATTTTTATTTAGAGCTGCTGTCATTTCCTTCTCTGTCTGGGGCCACTGGAAGGTGCCTGTAGGCATTCTGACCATGTTGGGCCCTCTTCTTACCCCCTATTCACCAAGATGAAACATATGTTACAACCCTCTTGCCTGACTTTTTCATCTTCGAAGGACAGAAAGCATTCTTTCACACACATTTCTAGAGCTTCTACTTGTCAAATGCTTTATGAGATCAGCAAGTTGCTTGGATTTGGGCTAAATGAAAAGTGCTTATTCTCCCAGCTCTCGTCTGATTTTGGAGTGGTTGGGGTGGGAGACCAATGGACTCCCAGGATCAGAGCTGAGTGCTGCAAAGCCCCGAGAAACCCGACGGAGCGCCAACCTGAGATGATGCAACTTAGTCACAGAAGACTTTATTGTTGCTCCTTTTAATCCCAGGAATGCTTCTGAAATGGCTATTAGCTACCAGTGAGGACACAATAGAACTGTGCCTTTGACTTCACAAGGCTGCAAATCTTTCCCAGAGCAGAAAGCCTCCTTTTTCTCCCACCTAATAGCTTGGGTTTCCAACTGCAAACTTTGAGTTAACCGCCCAATGAGGAATTCACTGCAACATTAGGTCTTATTGACTCAGTAGGAGTTTTTGAAGTCTCAGCGCCTTGCCCTCACCAACAAAAGCTCTCAATTTCAGGGAGAATGGTGGCAGTAAAGGTTACCGCGTTGGGCTCTTTACTGCATGGTCATGGGTTGATAACCACAAGAAAAAGATGTGACTTTCTACTCCCTTGAAGACTGGCAGTCCTGGAAATGCACAGAAGCTGTACTTTGTTCTGCAAGGTCGCTGTGAGTTAGAATCAACTTGATGACAGTGACCTTGGAGCTCCAAGTAATAGATTACACATTGGGCTGCTAATAGCAAGGTCACCAGTTGAAAAACAAACACAGCCGCTCGGTGAGAGACAGATGAGGCTTTTTACTCAGGTGAAGAGTTACAATTTCATAAACCCACCAGGGGAGTTCTACTTGCTCTGTGGGGTTGCTATGGGTCAGAATCGACTCGATGGTAGGGAAGGATTGGGAAGGTAAACACACAGCCACATTAGTATGGCTTTTTCTATGACGGGGAAGACAGGGTGTGATGGCGGTTTAGAAAGTACACCTAAAAATCAAGCAATCCTGCTTGACATCTTGCCAGTTATTTGCTGTGTGACCAGAGTACCTTATGAAACTTCAGTGAAATCTAGAGCGTGAGGATAATGGCCATACCAACCTCATAGATGAAGGTACATAGTAGTAGGTAAGATTACCAGAGATGTCAAGCAAAACATATATATCTGGTGGATTATCAGAATTTCAGGGGTTGAGGTTAAGCTAAAAAGTTAGAATTTTTTACTGTTGTCAAATATATATTTAAACATTTAATATTTCTCTGGCAGGGGAGACACCTTGTCCACGAAGGTGGCTTTCCAGGGCAAGGCTTATCCATTGTCCTCCAGATGTGCTGACCCCTGCCATTTCTGCACATGAGGGAAACTCGACTGCATACTTTATCGTAGCTGGGGACTGCATTTATTCTCTCCCCTAAAAAGACAAAAAAATGTTGTACCATGATAACCATTATAAGTGTTATCAGTGACATTAATTACATTCCCCATGTTGCTTAATCATTGCCATTATTTCCAAATGTTTTATCACCAATCCTGCCTTTCCCCCCCCCCACTAAAAAATTTCTGAGTCCTTGTCCAGCAACAACCTCCTACGCTCACCTCTCCTCATTGTCTGGTACCTGCGACTGAAGAGTGTCTTCGTGGTTTTTAAATTATCAGCTCATATATTTGTTCGCTTGTGGCTGGCTTCTTCTTCTTCTTTTTTTTAAATCACTTTATTAGGGGATCATACAACTCTCATCACAATCCACACATACCTCAATTGTGTAAAGTGCATTTGTACATTCATTGCCCTCATTATTCTCAAAACATTTCCTCTCCACTCAAGGCCCCGACACCAGGTCCTCATTTTTCCCCTCCCTCCCCGCTTCCCCCTCCTTCATGAGCCCTTGATAATTTATAAATTGTTATTTTGTCATATCTTGCCCTGTCCGACATCTCCCTTCACCCACTTTTCGGTTGTCCATCCCTCAGGGAGGAGGTCACATATAGTTCCTTGTAATCGGTTCCCTCTTTCCTACCCACTCTCCCTCTACCCTCCCAGTATCGCCACTCACACCACTGGTCCTGAAGGGATCATCAGCCCTGGATTCCTTGTATTTCCAGTTCCTATCTGTACCAGTGTACATCCTCTGGTCTAGCCAGACCTGCAAGGTAGAATTTGTGTCATGATAGTGGGAGCGGGGAAGGAAACATTTAGGAACTAGAGGAGAGTTGTATTTTTCATCGTTGTTACTTTGCACCCTGACTGGCTCGTCTCCTCCCTGAGACCCCTCTGCAAGGGGATCTCCAGTGGCCTACTAATGGGCTTTGGGTCTCCACTCCGCACTCCCCCCATCATCCACTATGGTAAGATTTTTTGTTCTGATGATGCCTTATACCTGATCCCTTAGACACGTCGTGGCTGGCTTCTTTCACGTAGCATAATTCACGATCCATCTATGCTGTAGTGTGCATCCGAGCTTCGTTTCTCTTTGTGACCGAGTAATATTCTATTGTATGAATCAACCACACATTGCTTACCCATTCGTCTATTAATGGACACTCAGTTATTTCCATTCCTTGGCTTTTGTGAATGATTCTTCATGGGCACTGGTGTACAAATGGCTGTTGGAATCCCTGGTTTCAAGTCTAAATGTGGAATTTCTTGCTCATATAGAAATTTTATTCTTAACATTTTGAGGAATTAACAAGCTGTCTTCTACATCAGCTGTAACATTTTATAATTCATCCACAATGGGTAAGAGGTTTAATTTCTCCACACCCTCATCAACACTTGCTATTTTCCACTTGTCTGATAATAGCCAACCTAGTAGGTGTGAAGTAATATGCGATTGTTGTTTTGATTTGCATTTCCCTGATGACTAGTAATGCTGGACATTTTCTCACCTGCTTTTTGGCCATTTTTGGAGCAGTTCAAAGCCAACAGCTGCTCCAAAGGAGAAAGAGAACGCTCTCAGCTCCCGTATTCACAGCCTTGGAAGTGCCATTTAGGGCTGTTGAGTCCTAATCGATTCTTTGTCAGTAGGTTTGGGCTGTTGTTGTTTGGTAGCACATTCATAAATCTTCTCTGGAAAAATGTCTATTAAAGTCTTTTGATCATTTTATAAAATTTAGCTGTTTCACTTTTTCATTTTTGAATGGAAAGTATTCTTCATATATTTTGGATAATAACCATCCTTAGATATTTGGTCCCAAATATTCTCTCCCATTTTGTGGGGTGTCTTCTCGCTTTCTTCACAAAGTTCTTTGATCCACAAAAGTGTTTTTAGGTTGACAAAGTCCAGTTTATCTATTTTTCTTCTCTTGTAGATCACATTTTTGTGTCACAACTAAGAGTCGATTGTAAATCTAACATCTTGGAGCTTTAACCCCATTTTTTATTCTTTCAGTGTTTGTAGTGTTTAGATATTCAATCCACTTTTTGTGCATTTCTTATATGGTATGGGGAATGTGTCCAACTTTTTTCTTTTGCATATGACAATCTAGTAGTCCCAGTCCTATTACTGAAGAGACTATTCATTGAACTGCACCCCTGTCATAAATCAACTGACTGTAGATGCATGGGTTTATGTATGGGCTCTCAATTCTATCTGCTTTCTCACAGGAGAAAGGTGAGGATTTATCCTCCCACAAAGAGTTGACAATGTCATAAAACCAACAGGAGCAGTTCTACTCTGTCCTGTAGGGTCACTATGAGTGGGAATGAACTCGAGGGCAATGAGTTTCATTTTGAGTTTTATACAAGGAACAAACTGTTTGAATTATTGTAGCTTTATATTATATTGGAAATTCAGAAGTCTAAACTTTCTTTATCTTTTTTCAAAATTGTTCTCCCTATTTGAGGTCCCTTGAAATTCTACATGAGCCTAAGTATAAACTTTATTTTTACTTAGATAAAAAGGTTATTAAAATTTTGATAGGGATTGCATTGATTCCATAGATGTCTTGGAATAGCATTGACAATGAACAGTATCGAAACTTCAATCTGTGAATGTGGGATGTATTTTCATTTATCTTGGTTCTCATTAATTGTTTTACCTAGGTTTTATAGTATAAGTCTTTCACCTACTGTTTAAATTTATTCCTAGATGTTTTTTGTCTTTTAGAGGCTTCTGTAGATGGGATTGTTTTCTTAATTTCCTCTTCAGATTGTGCTTTACTGGTGTATAGAAACACACCATAGTTCCTCACATTGATCTTGTGTCCTGCTACCTTTCTTTGGGATTTTCTACAACAAGAGATAACATATTTTCTTCATTTCCAGTCTAAGTATATTTCATTTCTTTTTCTTACTCAATTGGTTAGGCTAGAACTTCCAGTAGAATGTTGAATAATGGTGTGGAATAAGAGGCATCTACATCTTATTCCTGATATTAGGGGGAAAGCTTTCAGTCTTTCCCTAGTGACTAGGGTGTGAGCTGTGGGTTTTTTCATAAATGCCCTTTATCAGATTGAGAAACTTCCCTTCTATTTCTAGTTTGATGAGAATTTTAATCATGAGACATTAGATTTTATCAAATTATTTTCTGCATCATTTGGCATTGTCATTTTTTTGTTTTCTTTTGTTCTATTAATGTGGTGTATTGCCATCATTTTCTTATGTTGAAACACCCTTGCATTCCTGAGTGTTTCCACTTGGGCATGGCGCATACTTCTTTAAAATGCCTTGAATTCAGTGTGCTAGTACTTTGTTGAAGATGGTATAAGGGATGTTGTTCTGTAGATTGTCTTGTCTTTATTTTACTTTGGTATCAGGGTAATAATGACCTCATAGAATGAATTAGAAAGTGTTCTTCCTTCTCTATCTTTTGAAAGATTTTGAGTAGGATTGGTGTTAATTCTTCAAATATTTCCTAGAATTTACTAGGGAAGCCATATTGTCCTTGACATGGCTTGTGGTCATTAGGAGGATTTTAACTGCTGATTAACTCTTTTCACATGTTGTAGATATAATTAGATTGTGTGTATCTCCTTGAGTCAATTTAGGTTGTTTTTGTGTTTCTGGATATTATCTATTTCATCTAAGTTATTTAATTTGTTGGTGTACAATTGTTCCTAGTGTTCTCTTATAATCATTTTCATTTTTTATAAGGTTACCAGTAATATCTCAGCTTGCAAGAATGAATTTAATGATTTGAATCTTCTCTTTTTTCCTTCTCAATCAAGCTAAATATTGGACAATTTAATTGATATTTTTAAAGGACTAAATTGTGATCTTGTTGATTCTATTTTTTTTCTCTGTTTCATTTATCTCTGCTAAGATCTTTAGTATTTTCTTTATGGTAGCTCTTGGCATAGTTTTCTTCTGTTCTTTTCTTCATGATATAAATTTAGGTTTTGATTTGTGATCTTCCACTGCATAATATAAGCATTTGCAGTTATTCATTTCACTCTGAGCACTACCTTCAGTGCATTTCCTAAGTATTGATATACTTAGTCTCTAATTATTTTCTAATTTCTCTTGTGATTTGTTATTTGACCCATTGGTTGTTTGATAGCATGATGCTTATTTCTACAGATTTGTGTATTTTCCTATTGTCCTTCTAGTCTGAATTTCTATTTTCACTCCATTGTGGTCAGAGATAATACTTAATGTGATTTCAACTTTTTCAATTTATTTAAACTTGTTTTGTTTTTCTATCCTGAAGAATGAGCTGTGTGCTCTGGAAAAGCTGTGTATTGTTTTGTTGTGTGGCCTGTTCTAAATATGGTTGTTAGGTTTTATTAGTTTATAATGTCATTCAGGTCTCCTATTTCTTTACTGCTCTTCTTTCTGGATGTTCTGATCATTATTAGGGAGCCCTGGTGGCATAGTAGTAACACACTAGGATTGCTAACTACATCAGCAGTTTGAACCCACCAGCTAGTCAGTTGGAAAAAGATGAGGCTTTCTGCTGAAGATTTACACCCTATGATAGCCACAGGAGCAATTCTACTATATCCAAAGGGTTTCGATGAGTCAGAATTGACTAGAGGGCAGTGAGTGTGATTTTTGTCCATTATTGGAAGTAGTGTATTGAAGTCTCCAAGTCTTATTATAAAGCTGTCAATTTCTCCCTTCAATCATATCATTTCTCCCTTCAATCATATCCCTTGCTTCATATGATTTGGGACAATTTTAGATGTCAACATATTCATATATAATTGTTATATCTTCTTCATGAATTGAAAATTTTGTTATTATATAATGTACTTCTTTATCTCTTTTAACAAATTTTAACTTAATGTCTACTCATATCTTATATAGAAATAGTTCTCTCTTTTGTTTATTACTTTCTCCAACTTTTCACTTTCAACTTACTTTGTCTCTGCATCTAAATTTGTCTTTTTTTATTAAATACTTTTATTAGGGCCTCTTACATCTCTTATCACAATTCATACATTCATCTATTTTTTTAAACATTTTATTAGGGG